TTATCTGTGGTTTTTTACCGACGCAGTTAGCGTCTTGGCCTTCGTAACATCGAATAATATGATTTAATTAACAATGAATCTGAAAAAAATGTGCAAGTTATCGTGGCCTATCACATAATTTGCCTGGAGGCACTAGCGATAAATACAAAAGAAAACTCCAGTTAGGATAGCCAATACCAAGGCCGATATTCGAACCGGTAACCTCGGGAGGTCAATTCAGAAAAGTTACTATTTAAATTAACTTCTTCCATCTAATGTTAAATATTAAATAAATTTTAATACTATTTTTAAACGACTAGAGATATTTTTGACATAAGTTATAGGTTTCTGTGAATTAAGTGGGGACCCTAAAAATGATTCCCAGAAAGTCGAAACATGCACGGCATCACACAAAAAATGTAGAAAAGAATCGAAAATACACTAATCCTACTTAGCTGCATTTGAATGCATCAAGACTGTTTCCCTGAAACAATATTCAACAGCATTAATGTTAATTTTAAGATGGTTTCCGTTTATTCTCGTGCTTTGTGTATTGTCAGCGAAACTATGACTACCTTAACTGAGGTTATGTCCGCAATACATAAATACTCCCGCACATAAATTTATTTCTTCTTTCTGGTCGGTGTGTGCGCGCATTCGGGTGTGTGTGTGTGTGTGTATTTCTTATGTCAATAAAAAATAGCAAATCAGAAAATGATTTAATTACAAATTGTTATTCCTAATATACAACTAGCTCAGTCACTCACTCGTGGAGCTGAGCCCTTCTGGAGGAGCCGCCAATTCTGCAGCTACTCAAGAACTCCCCAGCATTTTATGGAACTCGAAGGTTCATTATCGTGTTCACAAGAGCCCTCCACTGGTCCCTGTCCTGAGCCAGATCAATCCAATTCATACCATCCCCTCATCTCTCTCTAAGATCCATTTTAATGGTGTCCACCATCCTACGTCTTGGTCTTCGCAGTAGACTTTTTCCTTCTGGATTTCCGATCAATATCCTACATGCATTCCTCTACTCCCCATTCGTGCTACATGCACTGCTCATCTCCTCCCTGACTTGATCATTCTAATTATACTTGGAGAAGTGTACAAGTTATGAAGCTCCTCATTAAGCAGTTTTCTCCAACTTCCTGTCACTTCATCTCTCTTCGGTCCTCTCTGTTCTCAAGCACCCTGTTGAATAGTTCGAAATACTGCCAAAAAATACATTAACTGACTGCTGAATGTTAGGATGGGGTGGTATGGGCTGGACTGATCTGGCTCAGGATAGGGACCAGTGGAGGGCTCTTGTGAACACGGTAATGAACCTTCGGGTTCCATAAAATGCTGGTAAGTTCTTGAGTAGCTGCAGATTTGGCGGCTCCTCAAGAAGGGCTCAGCTCCATGAGTGAATGAGTGAGTGAGTGAGTGCTGAATACTTTACCACTAATATTAGCTGAAACACATAGTAACTCACAAAACTAAATTGTAATCGCTGCAAATTATAGAATATGAAAGCCGTAAGTGCAATTTCTACTGTCGTATAAAGGTTAGGCCACATACCGTATTTATATATTTTCTACTTACCGTGTGGCTCCTCCGTTCTCTCGTCCTGCTCTCTTCTAATTCACATGTATCTTCCTTACTTCCAATGTTCACTGTGTTCAACGATTCACTGGTTATTATTAATGTGGTGTAGTGTAGTTATAGAACACTGTAAGGATCGAACATTCTTCAATATATATATATATATATTTCCCCCCCTTGGCACTACAGCGCCAGTGGGCCTAGGCCTACCTCCATGAACTTCTCCGTTCACTTCGGTTTTTCTAGATCTTACACATTCGGTAGGACTCCTTGGGCGGGTGATCAGCTCGTCGCAAGGCCTCTACCTATAGACAAACACAGAAAAACGCACACAAACATCCATGCCCTGAGTGGGATTCGAACCCACGATCCCGGCTTCCGAGCGAGCGAAGACAGTGCATGCCTTAGACCGCTCGGCTACCGTGACCGGCACACTATATTTTAGCAATTATTTTTAGTTAGAATTGTGACAATATTATTATTCTATTATTTTTTTGTATTTATCTTAAATTATATAGCGCCAGATGATTATCTGCGGGTAACAAATTAGAAGCGTGTGGAAGGAAGCCAGGTGTGAGGTGATCTCCCAAAATATGCCTGTGAGGACTCAAGAAAACCATTAAATATTTAACACAGGATAGTCGGTCTTCAAGACAGGATTCTAAGCCAGGACTTTCCCAGTATGAAGCTGGAGTGCTGCCTACTAGATCACGAAATTCGATATATTATTATTATGAGTACTATGAACTTTTGAGTAGGCACGTAGATAAATAAACAATTATTATTATTATTATTATTATTATTGGGTACGTGGTGGACTGCAGTTGAATTAGCAAATAATAATATTCCATTACACTGAAAACACCGCCATTTTACCCATAACTAGTCCGCCACATTTTGTGTATACCTATGCCTACAACATACTTGTATGTTAATTTGTAAATATTTATTATATATAATTTGGTACATCCTGACCCTTTAATCAAAATGTGTGATGAAGAACGATTAATTAAGAATAATAATTATATTAGTATGAATATGAAGTATTTCCCATTAAAGAGGACAATCGAATTACTGAACTTTGTAACTAATTTCAGTGTCTGAAACGAAACAGACGTTACACGTGTAAGTATATGGCATTGTTCTCATGCTTCAATATACACTCTGACCACGCAATAGATTAACACAACACCATTACATGCTTTAGTTACAATTATTACACTATTATCAGACAATCACACGCATAATAAAACAATATTTTACAATCACGACATGTTTCGGCGCCCAGAACATCGTGGAGCGATTTTCTACTGTCACAATTCGTAGTTAACGTAATTGCCAACAGACATCGCAAGGTACAGCACAGCTCCGACTTCGCCACGGCAACCCCTCCCTACTATCCCTGCACCTTCCGCTCGTCCCGCTCCCCTTTCCCCCCAATCAAGTCGCCACGTCAACCGTAACCAAGTACGTGCATGTTAAGATTTATCGCTGTGATCTGATACTAGTAGCATCAATTCCATATTTTTAACTTGTCATCACCCTCTTTGCACGCTGCATGCCACCATGTGTAATACAAGACAATCTAACTGCAGTTTTGTTTTTCTATGCTGCATTCAGTACGAACTACTGTTGCTAGGCAAGAGGCGACCATGTACGTTTCATTTCCAATTCCTTTTGCTTAACTAAAGGCAAAACGTATATTTGAATTGTTAGCTTAATGTCCAAACACTGTTGCTAAGCAACAAACTCAAGTACCCCTGTGCTTAATTAATTAAGTATCACACCATGGAGACGTATGAGGCAGTGGAAGTATATGTCCAACATTCTTGAACTCAGCACTAGATGGAATCGAGTGGTCAGCTCCACGGCCCGGCCGGCTAAGCAACAAGACAAACTGTACGTTTGTATTTTTAGTTTAGTATCAAAATCCTGTAACTATGCAAGAGGCAAAATGTAAGTGTGTGTTGATAATAGGGTCTCACACAACTCCTGTTCCGTATTTATGTGTGCCCAATTTAACCCCTTGCTGCGAGCCTGTTTTCCCGATCAGGCAGGTAAATTCAAATGTAGTAACTTACACTGGACATTTACGAGAACGCAACACACTTTTATAAACTTCGTAAACACTGTGATAAACATAGTACCATAAATCTTCCGACACAAACACATCGCTCTACAATAATGAATGTGAGATTATACCACTGCCGACCACTACTCACTTGTTTTCGCTGTTCTGCTAATCGAACGGTACCATAAGCGACATCTGTTATTTAAACTCGTAACTAGAATCTTTAATGTTTCGATTAATTCCTTACTAATCTCTGCATTCAAGCGACGGTATTCATGCAGCAGATTTATAACAATAGAATCGTGGCAGGAAGATACAGAAAAAAGAAAGCGATGGAATCTTGGCGAGAGGAGCCCCTCAAAAGAAAGAAAAAAAAAATCACTGAGGAAAGAGAAGATATGTTTTTTCTTCAATAATTGGCTACAGACCCTACAGAATTATTTTTATATTTACAATATGTGCTGCAGGATCCGGGATAGCTCAGTCGATATAGCGACTAGCTACGGGCTGGATGGCCGAGGGGTCGGAGTTCGAGTCCCAGTACGGTCAAGAATTTTCCCTTCTGTACGTCGTCCAGAAAGTTCCAGGGCCCACCCAGCCTATCAAATGAGTACCCGGGGCCCCTCCGGGAGTAAAGCGGCTGGGACGTGAAGCTGATCACTCCTCTCCAACTAGTGCCGGGTCAAGAATACGTGGATCTATACAAACACTCCCCCATTCGTATTCATGGGGTAGTGCTTAATTAGTTAAGCACAGGGACAACTTTACCTTTTATAACGTACGTTATATCGTTCCCTCGTAACAGGAAGGTCTCGGGTTCTAATCTCGGGAGATGACTTTATGAAAATAACAACGGGTTTACGCGATCCTTACATACAAACCTATGAAAATACAGACGATTTTAGGGGGTAGGGGGTTACGACGCTATCATTTCTAAGAGAACAGGACGTCGAATGACTGACAGAATGACTGATGAAGAGGAAAGGATTAGGAAGGAAGCAGTCGTGACGTAATTCAGGCACTACCCTGAAAAGTTACTGGAGTGTCTGAGAAAATTCACGGAAATGCTCTGTCAGAACAGCCGGTATACCGGCTCAAATTCGAAGACAGCAGTTCCGGAATACAAGTGTAGGGCGTTGCGGCCACACCAGTCTGCCTGGCAGGAAAAGTTGTTGATTGATTGTAGTCACTGCAGAGGTCGAGATGGAAGAGAAATTTACAGGCAAAAAGAAAGTAATGAAAAATACTGAAATTTATTTCAATTTATTAGATATATGACAAATGGACAGAGGTGCCAAAACTCTTAAAACACGTTTACAAGATATAAAATAAAATAAAAATTAATTCCTGGAATTTATTGATCTCATTTTATATATGAGAAATTAATGCAGGTTTATTGCTTTATATACCTTTGTATGAAAAATGTGTGTTTTATATCGCGGTGAACACTGGAAACTCCACATCAAAATCTCACAGTACGTGAATACTGTGCACTTACACTTACATAAGTGTATGGGATAAGACAGGAAAAAGACACCGCAATTTATATTTCTATGTCGGTAACAACAAGCCTGTTCACAGTTATTACAAAACAGGACAACTTGATACAGCGAACTGGTCAGATATGGTTCCATTTACCGATACACTTTTTATGCTAAAATAGGATGTGACGTCACCATCCGAGTATATTCAATTTTATTTTCTTCTATTTGTAAAGTTTAATTCAATATATGGTATCACCGTCAAGATGGTCATTTATGACGGAAACATGTCGGTGTTTTAAATGCATTTATTCAAAATAATAAATTAGATATATCGAGACCGCGACTTCACGTTTCATTTTAAGGGCAAAGTGATTTTACCTTGAGTCAGTTACCATCAAAGGCCTCATTTCTTTGTATTGGAAGCCCAGAACGCTACGAATATCGAATTAACCTAAAGACAATAAGGCACAAACAGAAACACAGTTCATAACAGTTATTACTGCATAAAACCTCGTCTTCTCCTTCCAACTCACGGACTGGGTGCTGCAACCTACGTTCAATTATCATAAGTTTTAAAACTGGTGTCTCCCATCTACTGCTAGGTCTTCTTATAGCTCTTTCTCCTTTTTAGTTTTATAAATATAGTAATTTCGGTAGTCTACAATCTTGCGTCCTATTGAGTGTTGTTCCCTGGTCGCCTGACACTTCCTCATTTCTGCCATGTTATCACTTTCGGGTAAGTCTCGCTTTTTAAATCTGCTGTTCTCTCTGCTAAAGTGGCTTCAAGTAGTGTCCTAAGGAATCCAATATTTGCAATATCTTCGTGTAACATGGCTCAAGGGCACTGTCTTACCTGTGGAACCGTTACATAGCGCTGACACTGAGACGCCTGCTGAAGGCATTACCTTACCTTTATGATTCAGTTACAAAATTAAGTCTCCAAGAGCAGGAACGCCCACAAAACAATATTTTAAGTGTTTTACCAATCAGAAGAATTGGAAGTGCAGATGTGAAACACAAGGGAATGGGAAGTGCACAAAAGAAATTGGCAGAAAACCGATCAACACTTTCACACCCTGAACGCAGAATAGTGGAAACAAACATGGAGAAGGAGGAAACGTTAAGGAGAAGAATAACAAGGAGATGAGGCACAATATAATAAGAGGAGAAGGCGAAAGAAGCACAAGAAAATTGAAAAGAAACGAGGAAGAAAATGAAAGAGAAGAAAGAAAAGAGGAAGTGGAGGAATTTGTGGGAAATAAACGAGGAAAGATTGGTGAAAATTAAAAGAAATAAGAAGATAAGGGTAGGAGGAAAGGGAAGATAATAAGAAGAGAAACAAAGAGAATACGAAAGTTCTGTTACGTCCATCACTCTGCAAGAAAGAACTGACGTGGGTCTGAAAGAGCTATATAATCCTAAACAATTTCCCTCGCCAAATTTCTAAACAATCTGTACATATTCTGTCTGAAACATGTCTGAGGGTATGCAGTGTCTTGAGCAGTCAACTTCACGGAAGAAAAGTCCTGTGTTCAACCAGACTTTTCAGTCTGGCTACTTTGGTTCCATTCTTACGTTGAAAATAAAATCCAGTAATTTTCTACTGATGACGCAATCGCATTCTACGTCATTATCTATCGTTTACGTAACCTCAGCGATGCTTCAGACACAGTTTAAAAGAGGTATATTTCTTTCTTATATGGAGAATTCATTACCCGAAGATGATATCGTAATCCGTGTTTGCACACGTAAAAGTGCTTGTTTTATCATCATAGGCATAACCGTAGGCGTGAGGGCAGTTGCCCTTGAAGTAACCAGCAGAGGGGCTGGCCTTGCAGACGTTTGGGTTGTTGTACTGGCCACGACAGCAGAACTGATCTGTGTTGTGAGCGACGCAGGAACTCTTGCAACCAACAACATTGCCGCCACTCTGCACCTTCAGGTCATTTGGGCATCCCGGGTTCAGGTTTTTGTTGCAGCCTGCTGTGGTACATCTGTACCCACTGCCTCCCTGCCCGTTTGTCGGTTTCATCTAGGCACAATGTTATGATCTGCGTGAGGTTTACAGTTCCCAAGCATGTGTATTACTGGGATGTGACGCCGTGTAGGGTGCGGGTTACAGGGTTGCAAACGATACTGTGTTTCCACCCTTCTCTAGGATACGCGTGATTTTACAGTATGCTACAATCCGGAAGGTCGCGGGATCGAAACCCGATGAGGTGGATTTTTTCAATTTACCTAATCATTCCAACCGCACTATGGCCCTGGGGTCGACTCAGCCCCTAACAGAAATGAGTACCAGGAATCTTCCTGGGGTTAAAGGGCTGCTGGTGCATAAGGATGACAACCTTACCGCCATCTGTGAGCCGACTGTCTAGCAAATGTGGGAGCCTCGACGTCTCACAATCCTATGGGCCTCCAGGGCCTGTTACAGGGATAGCTTTAATTTTACTTACTTTACACATTGACCAACTAACTCCATGGAGCTGAGTTCTTCTTGAGAAGCCGCCAGTTGCTAAGCCGCTCAATTCCCGACATTTACGTAACATTAAGGTTCATTACCATGCTCACAAAAGCGCACCACTGATTCATATCCTGAGTCAGACTAATCCCGCCCGTACCCCTCCACCCCATTCATCTAAGATCAATTTTAATATTTTCCTCATACCTATGTCTAGGTCTTTCTAGTGGTCTCTTTCCTTCCGGAATTCCCACCAAACCCTGCACGCGTACAGTGACAATGCGAAATCGCAGAAGTGTTGCTTACAGAAGGACGCGAACGCAACGCCGGCAGGATGTTTATTTAACGACGTTGTCAGTAGCTAGACTATAGAGCGTCGGATGATAGGACGAGGCGTTCCGCCGGAGATTCGAACACCGAGCACCTTCCGAATTGGAGTCTAGCTAATTACACCTACACCAGTCTGTACGGTGTGCCGGAGAGGGGGGGGGTAATCAGCTTCTCGTAAAAATGGAGACAGCAAGTTCCTCCGAAAATTTGTTACCCTATACATCAAACTACACGGCGTCCTATCCCAGAAAACAGTAATTTTCACAGACATCGAGCACTTAGCAAATTGTTTCTTACCTGTACGGGGACATTGAAGCCGTCCACGAGGCTCACGTCATAGTAGTCCTGACCTCCACTGCCCTTGAGCGTCACTTCCGCCAGGGTCGCTGGAGGCACTCCGCCTGCTCCGTTGCACTGCAGCTTATCGCCGCAGTCTCCGGTCGCACAGTGACCTTGACCATTTTGGTTGAAGTTGCACCCGGTGCGGGCCCAAAACCTGCCGCCCCAGTCATCGGCAACGCCGACAGATCTCTGAAACGGCGGTAAACCCCTTCGTGGTACAATGCAAGTAGCAACGGCAGAGCAAAGGACGCAAGCGCAGTAACTCTCTGCGCAATAGAACCGTACTGAGAGGTCTCTTTGTCGTTAACAGTCGACATTTTCATGAAAAATGCTTATTTAGAAGAGCTTTTGTGAAATGTGTGTATTATACAGAATTATTGGGTTTTTGGACTTTTCCCATCGTCTGGAATTCTAGGTAATAGAGGACACGACGTTTAGCAAATTGGATCTGTTTCCAGTGATTGAGATCAGCTCTTCCTAAGGGGCCCAACTAAATAGGTGTCTTCCTTTCTCACCTGAAGACGGAAATAGATCCAGTTTCCGAAACGTCTCGTCCTCTATTACCTAGAATTCCTGACAATGGAAAAAGTCCAAAATCTCAGTAATTCTGTGTGTCATCCACCACCGTCAGAACCCTTTAGAATCTATGTACATGCGTGCCCCGGTTTATAACTAACCAACTCCATAGGGCGGAGTCCTCCTAAATAACATTATGATCACTGACCCTGACCAATAAAGTCCCCACCTCCACTGCAGTGTTCACAACAGGTCGCCAGTCCACCATACCCTGAACCATACAAATGCAGTAAGATATTTCACACCCTGTTTCATTCAGACATCTTATAATAATACAGTGTGTTCAGTCAAGAAGGAAACTTCGCAACACCGCTGATCCGGCCCAACATTCCTCACAGATTGCTACTGTAACTGCGCGCGTTTATCAGCGCTAATGACTCGTTCTGCTATCAGCAGTTACAGCAGCAATCTGTGAGGAATGTTGGGCCGGGTCAGCGGTGTTGCGAAGTTTCCTCCTTAACTGAACACACTGTATTATCCTTTCATCTACGCTTATGTCTCTCCGGTAGTCTCTTCCCTGCAGATTTTCAGACTAAAATTCTATATACATTTCTTTTTTCCTATATTCGCATTATGTGTCCTGGCCGCTAAGAGAGTCAGCATAGCGGTAAATACTCTACATTCTGTATTCTTAGCGTACTACATTCAAATCTCGGACAGTACACTGGCTATCCTCACTGGTTTTCTTCAGTCCCTACAGGCAAATGCCGGGATAGTACCTCCATTAGACTATGATTTCTTCCCTCAACCCCTTCCTATTTCATAAATTATTGTACAATTCGACGCCACAGGCCCATAAGCTAGATTATGGCAGTGTCAGAAAATAAAAGACATAAACCTGTCCCACCCGTCTTATCCTCATTCGCCCTAACGAAAAGAATGAATTAGGAAGCTTCTCATTATACAGTTTTCGCCACTGTTCTGCTTAAAAATTCCTGTCTCATAGGTCCGAATATTAACCTTCTGAAACACTCTCGATCTAAGCTCGTCTCTCAAATGAGAGACTGCAAGAATGCCCAACTTACACGTTGTCCATGGTCTAGACGGAAACCTCCATTGTCTGGTGTTCCTTTCCCAGAATTTCCCAGGATTCCAACCCATATCGTGTAACCCAAGTTGTTCTGGATGTTGAACTGCCGCCCACTGGCCAATTCTGCGGCAGCCAAAAGCGTCAACAGCAGACTAATCGCCATTTTACTTCGTAGCAACAATAGTTACAGTGTAGCCCCTTGCTAGACCGCGTCTATATATATGAAGCCACACACAAGGAACATACTGTCCTAAAATCTATTTTTAATTCCTTGCTACTTGCTTATCATTTAATAAACACATGTGAACTGTCAACATAATTTTGCATAAAATTAGCTGTTAAGGTACAGTATATATCATAATTTTCTCTGTACAGGAAGAAGAAAGGAAAGGTTTCCTCTGGGTCAGCTGCATAGAGTTAGCACCTCTAGATAATATTGTCTTGACGGTGCATGTACGTGTCACTCCGTAACTAATGACAAAATAATCTGCCTGAATACAACAGAAAAACATGTCACCTCCCGTAAATCACACAACAATCACTCTAATATTAACTTAAACAGATAACCTGTTGGGAATTACCCTCGATCTTACATGTTCCTCATAAACAGGGATGGGTATACGAGTGGGCCTTATGCATGCCCTAAAGGTTATGTTCCTGTGCTTAATTAAGCACCATACCATACGGGGCTGGAGGTATAACTCCACACACTCTTTCTTTCTTCTGTAAGTTATTAACGACGGTGCAAATATCCATATTATATAGCGTCGGATAGCAGGATTGATCAACAGGAAAGGATCTGGAAGGAAGTGATCATAGAATATTAATTGTAGTGTCTTGGTACTGCCTGGAGGTACTGAGAAACACCACGAGATACCTCAGGACAGCTCCGTCCGAGATTTGAACCAAGCGTCTCCAAAACACGAATGTGGAGTGCTATAGCCAAAGAGCTCTGATCTCACATTCTTAACCTAGATACCAGATGGAGATCAGTAACCAACTTTAAGTTCCGGCCGTCTTACCTCGGGAGAAAGAGATCTCAGTACCCAACGTATAAGAGGCTGGATGAGCCCTATGGAGAAGAGATGAAGTTCCTTCTATCCTGGGAATAGAACTCTGATTCTCCGGTCGTCCTGAGTCGTAGCCTAGTCACTATAGTGATTGAGCTACGCCAAGTCCCGTACTATCTGGAAGGAGGTAGATTTAGGAGTATATTTTATCGAAATGTTGCTTTATTTTTGTACGATTCGCTGTAAAATCGATGTGTCAGATTGTGCTGCCCTGGGTTATGACGCCTTGCAGTTTCGTCAAGTCGTTAGCAAACATCCGGGGGCAAAGCACTGCCACGCTCTGCTCATGAAGGCATCTACCCTCTGTCTCACTGAGTGTGAGGTGCAGACGGACTGCACGGTCTCCACTCGTGTATCTTCCGGGATCAGAGTATCATGAGATGTATCACTGGTGGGTTCTATTCCCGATGAGGTCATTCATTTTTCAATTTCCCTAAACATTCCAGCCGCACTATGGCTCTGGGGTCGAATCAGCCTCTAACAGAAATGAGTACCAGGAATCTTCCTGGGGGTAAAGGGTGGCCGGCGAGTAAGACTGATAACCTTACCGCCATCTGTGAACCGATTATCCAGAAAATGTGGGAACCTCGACGTCTCACAAACCTACGTGCCTTCACGGCCTGTTACAGGGATAGCTTTACCTTTTTTATATAATTAGTTCGGTTGAAATTATTTCTAAAGGAACTAACAGTTCTCTGTAGTTTGGAATGATTGTACACTTGCCTATTTACACTGTATGGATGTGAGTAGTGTTGCCAACGTTTCGGAGGTACGTACCGCCACCGCCTTCAGGTCATAATTGCGTAGGGTGAATTAGTTTTAGTTTTGGTTCAAAAAACCCGTGAGATGAAGAGGAGAGGCTGATAGGGACAGTGGCAGGGAAATTTTAACAAAATGGCCCTTTTCAGGGCTCACAAACACATCATTCGGCCATAGGCTGCCGCTGTTGCCAAGTCTTCACTCATCCCAGTAACCACGAACTCATGGGCAGTAAAACGTCACCAGCCGGCACTTCAATATTTCATAGCGACATGTTTTGTCTGTGTGTACTCAGAACAGAGACTTCTCCTAAACAAGAATTTGATGACAGTTCCTCACCTCCTGTGGGCTGTGTACTGCAAAGACCGAAAAGCCGAATCGTCGTCCACAAATAAACACGGTAAAGGCACAAAATTAGCCGTTACATACTCTCGATAATGACAGCATCGTTAAACAACCAATCCGAAATCACTTATCTATAGATTACACCCCTGTACATATGTACTATCAGACTGCAGAAGTAAAGAGGTCTTAACCGCGGTTTCCTCGATAGATAGAACACGCATGCCCTTTGTGAATACAGAGGAATGGACGATATATAGACACTTGTTTTCCTCCTAGCACCACAGGACAAACCCCAAGGTTATACACTTCCTGGAAAGACCTCGAAGTCGAAGGAAAAATGACGTTAAAATTAATCTTAAAGAAACCGGACGTGATAGTGTGGTAGTCTTTATCTGGCTCGGGATAGGACGGTAAGGGAAATGTATTGACCAGCTGAGGAACTGTTAGCTTCTGAAGGAGAACACCGCTCCACGGTGTCGGTTGATAAGACTCATAACTGTGTGTATGCCTGGCACGTTTAACTAAATACAGTATTTGAAATTTGAAATGAAACACAATCAAAAATAATTTTAAAAATTGGGTATTAAATGCAGAGTGTCCGGATGAAAGATATCCAAAATAATAATAATAATAATATATATATATATATATCGGAAACAAATTGTCATCGGAAAGAAAAATCCTTCATGCCCTTGATGTCTGTGTGTCGCCCTAGCTAGTTGCTTGCTTTCTGTATGGCCCCCCCCATCTTTGCTAGGCAACGGCCAATTATCTATGCGGTCCGGGTCATATCAAAGGAAAGTAGGCGACTAATTCTTCCCAGAACTTCTCGTAATATTATCCTCCCACGTACTCCAGATTTTCTTACCAACACACAGCAACAACATGACACAAACTTGTCCGCTGTGAATTTCGTATCGTTGGATTTCACTGTACCAGACTATACCCGTGACACTCAATTAAGAGACCTACAGCGAGATATACTCTTGTGATAGCATCTATCATACCAAGCAACGCCCTTATTTTGATGGTCCGACAGCCAAAAATCATTGAACTCAGCGCAAGTTACGTTATAGCACGACTAAGAGTAGTGTTATCCAAATGTTGTTCAGTTCCGACGACTGTTGAGCCAAAAGACGCTTTCATCTGGTTCCAAAGTTGGAAGGGAGCCACCATTCAGAGAGGACTTGAGCACAGAAGCAGAGAAATAGCCGTTATTAGAAGCCATTACCAGGCAATTACTAGTGAATACACTCCAAGCTGGAAAAGACTTAGCATGTGATTTGTAACGTGCGGAAATTAGCAATGGCGCTGTAATTAAGTTTAACTGTGAGTTGCATGGTAAAGTGGTCAGTAAATCCAATATCCAATCCAAAACCGCACTGAGAGTCATACTAACAAGTGACAGAACTTTCAAAACCAGATTTTTTACAAATATACCAAAACTTCCGTTGTTTTTTTATGTTATTGTCTCGATTTTGAACAATCTAGTGCAAAGGTCAAGAATAGGTGGATATATACCTCCACTCCCCCACACGTCTTCTTGGATGCTTAATTAGTTAAGCACAGGGATTAATTTTTTTTTCTGTGGCGCTACAGCCCCAATTTGGGCCTAGGCCTACCTCCATGAAACTCTCCGTTTCACTTCGGTTTACTAGATCTTACACATTCGGTAGGACTCCTTGGGCGAGTGACCAGCTCGTCACAAGGCCTCTACCTCTAGACATACACAGAAAAACGCACACAAACATCCATGCCCTGAGTGGGATTCGAACCCACGATCCCGGCTTCCGAGCGAGCGAAGACAGTGCATGCCTTAGACCTCTCGGCTACCGTGACCGGCTCAGGGATTAATTTACCTTTAATAAAGAGTCCCGCACAGGACTGAAGAAGGCAGCCGTTCCACAGAAGTGCACATGCCGTAGGCAGGACATTAACATAGAGCTTGATTTAATTTCCATGAAGCTGTAATGTAATGATCCTTAAGGACATGGACTGGCCCTGGCTCATGAGGAGGATATCCTGCTTGTATGGTACAGATCTGTCAGTGTTTCGCATGTGGTCGCTCTCAGGAAAATGCGCAACGAATTTGGCAGAGTCCAGTAACTACAGTTAGGATTGCAGGATCTGTATGTTACAGTGCGTCACCCTCCCTTCCTTCCACATTGCAGCTGCAACCACTGCACCTACTGCTTCTTACAGTTATTTACTCTCACGCGCAACCAAGAGGTTAGGCATGCAAATGCTTTAAAAACTTAAGTTATCCTTAGGCTTAATTAATCAACCACCACGCCATAAAGACGTATGGGGGAGTGGAGGTACAGCTCCACAATTCTTAACCTCGGCACTGGAGGGAGGTGAATGGCCAGTTTCACGCCCCTGCCATTTTACTCCCGGAGGAACAACCCCCCCTCCCCCCGGTATCCATTGTATAGGAGGCTGGGTGAACTCGACTTTAGGGAAGAGAAAAAAATATCTTGCCCCTACCGAGAAGCGAACCCCAATTCCCCGCCGTCCAGCAGAGAAACAATTTGAATGGCTAGCTCACTTCGTGGGTTACTGTCCTTCTTGAGAAACTGACGGTAGTTCAGCTACTCCGCATTTTATACAAAGCCAATTTGTACAATGCCGTGTTCTGAGTCACTTGAATCCAAAATATATCCCCACATTTAAGATCTGTTTTAATGTCACCTTTCCATCTAAGCTTACGTCAGCAAACGATCGTGTCTCTTAGGATATCGAAATGAAATCTTAGGATTTAGAGATTCAGTTTTGTGTATATTCCTTATCCATTCAGTGCGGGTTCTACGCCCCCTCCCCACATCTTTCTCCCTCTTTTCACTTCCAAAAGGTACGAGAGACTCTTCCCTGGTGCATGATGCTAACTACCACCTAATGTCAAGAATGGTGCAGCTATACCTCCTCTCCCCCCATATGCCTTCATGGTACAGTGCTTAAATAATTAAGCACTGGGATAAATTTACCTTTTTAGTAACGGAGTCTTAATTTGATCAGGAGCAAATGTCCTAGAAGCTAACAAGTCTCTAAGCCTCCGGCACGCGGCTCCGCAACTTTACTCCCAAACACGCCTTAGTGAGAATCACACCCCTGAATCCACTGTTCAAACAGAGGAACATTCCCATAAGCATTCCTGCAAGCGGCATTTTTGGGCTCCCTTTTTTCATAGAGACAGTTTAAAGACGTGAGTATGGGAGAAACGTTTGCATTGGTGAACACATTTTTCTTGTATACCATGTGGAAGGGTTCACACTCAGCAAAGCATGGAATCCCAGCATCAGTTTATTAAGGCATTAGAGCACACACATCACGATAAAAAATAATTAGAAAAAAAAAATAGTTTCACAACGGGGACACCAGGTTAAGCGACATGGTGAGAGGTTAGAGCCGGATGGGCGACCGCACAGCTTGACTCCACCCTCCTACGGTACAATACACCAATAAGAAGAGGCATCGACTTGACAATATGGTATAGATATCAGCGACGTATGGTCATTCACCATATCCACCCTGATGATAGACGCTGAGGAGATCTCCGAAACATCGGTTTAGTTGAACACTGACATAGCTGATCGCCCAATAAAATTTTAGTTACGTTTAATCGCAGTGAATGCTTGGAAACTTATATAGATTTTTTTTATTGCTAGTGGGGTGGGACTAAGTCCCTTGAACTGCGGCCACTTATGGCCTATTTCACCAGCCCCAGATGATAGGTGAGGGTGATTGTGAAGCAATTGGTGGAATGAAGATTGGCAAGGGAAACCGAAGTACTCGGAGAAAACCTGCCCCAGCGTCACTTTGTCCACCACAAATCCCACTTGACCAGACCCGGTATCGAACCCGGGCCGCCGCGGTGGGAAGCCACCGACTAACCGCTTGACCTATGGCGCGGACCTCCCAACAGGGGTAACACCGATTGAATTCAGCTGGCACAGGAGCACAGGACTACTGTACATCCACAGGGACTTATCTGTCATTTCTTGAAAGTTTTCAAGTTTTTTAATTCTCCAAATAGTTCAAGTTTTACATTCTTGGAAATTGTCTCTTTAAAAACTTAAAAAAGTAACTTTTTTAATCTCTGAAAACAATCAGTTTCTATTTGGTGGGCTCAAGTAAATGTTATTGTCATCGACAATTTCTTATTCCTAGCATATTTTGAATTTCATTTATTTTTATATGACAAGGTTCGAAAGTCTATATATTGCTTGAACTCTCCAAATCGTAAACAGATGCGAATATATTTTGAACATTTGGATTTGGAAAAATTCCATAATTTTGAAATTTTAGAAATTCTGAAACTTCATTAAATTTAAAGAGACGTTCAGGTTTCAGTAACATGGAAATAACTCCGAACTTCTTTTTATACACCCGGAATCCAAAACTTTTTGAAAATTGAAAATATTTAAAATTGTCAAACATTTTTAAACTTCTGGAAATTTTGTAATACTGCAATGTCAAAAATTATTCAAAATTCTAAATTTGGGAAACTTGAACATGTGTCACAGCTTTCAGCGGTTTCAAAAGTTTATACTATTAAAAACATTCATGTTTAACGCTATCGGCTTTTAAATTCTTTGAACATTCTAACCCTCAGATGTTTCCATTTTTTTTTTTTTAGACGCGAAAAATTTCGAAGAACGTGTCATTTTGAAGCGTTCGCGTTAAGAATTTCGAGATGAAGTTTCGTTGCCGTGTTATAGATGGCAGAACAAAATGCGTAGTATATTTGCTGCCCTCTTTCAGCGTCTCGCTGAACTACCAATGGTCACCGCAATTATCGATAGAAATACGTTTGAGCTACGTTTCGATCGTTTCGATGGTTACTCACTAATGGAGTGAAGTTTATGTTGTGTATTTGTAATCCATGATCAGGCTTTTGTTTGCTGTGTTTCAATAATTTCGGAATTGTTGACTAAATTCCAGCATAACAATATGTCAGAGGAAGAAGTGGAGAATTTTGAAATAACTGAATACGATTTGGAAAATGAATTTAATATTAACAGACCAACTCGCCGAATAAGCAAACACAAACAAATATACGGTAAGCTCGACCACTATGCAGCAAGTGTCTTGCATTTGCAGGTTATGATTACAAGATTTCTAACAATCCACCAATACGAATATAGAGCAAGGAATGTTATTCAGTTCCTTATACACAGTAGAGTTATTGAAACATTTTTGTGTATTCATGTAGCTGATAATTGTATCGTCATACTTAGGTATTTGGGCTGATGACAGTGGAGATGAAGATGGAAGTGGAGGTTCCAGGCCAAGTTTTCGAGGTGCAGGCGGGCTAAGTGGAAAACATAACTATTCAACACCTGTTAGTTTTGTGTCAGGAGGAGTACAACAAGCTGGAAAACAGAAAGCACCCAAAAATAATAAAGACAAAATTGGTGATGACAGTGGAGATGCTGATGGTGATGAGGAAAATGATGATGATCTGGATGGCAGAAGAGGCAAGAATGACACTCCTAATTCATCAAGGTGAGTATGTTATATACATTAATTCTTGATCATACTAGTTAACATTCTAATGGTCATTCTTAAGAAAGTTGTACGTGAGATTTTGAATGTTCCTTCTTGGCACTCTTACACACCATTTTTATTTAAGTCTGTTGTTCCGATAAGTGTTTTTATTTGCATATTAATGCACAAGTTTCCTTTTTAATCATTTACTTTCAGTGAGTCTGAGGAAGAAGGCCCAGTACGTGCATCTGCAAAGTTACAGTCACAGAAGCAACGTGTATTGAACCTCGATGGCGAAATAGCTGGTCTGCGAAAGAAACGTCCTGTTTTCAACCCAGCACTTATAAATAAGGGAATGGGAAACTGGGAGAAACATACGCGTGGCATTGGTGCCAAACTCTTGCTTCAGGTATTTTTGATAACTGTTCATGAAGTGGGTTATGTGCCTGTGTGCCTTTCAGTGGCTCAGATTATAACCTGAATATGGTGTGAACTGAACAGTAACTAAGGCAAATCCATATTAAACCTCAAAATATAAGTACAGTACAACTGTTGTGGGAAACCTGATGGCCGTATGTCTTATTTGTCATAAGAAAATCGATTTTGAGATTTTAACAGATTCATATGAAAAGTGGTTTCTGGAATGCCATCTGTCTGCATGTATGTGCCTTTTGCTAGCACCTGAATGGTGGAGAGTTCTTATACATGTTCGGTATTCAAGAGTTTATCCATCATAGATCAGTGGTTGGTAAATGTGAACATTCTAGTTCCAGAAAAAGGGGCCCCTTAAACATAAAATTTAAATTCTCTCTCTCTCTCATAAAAAAAAACCAGCTCTAAAAATCTTGATCAAATTTCAGTAAATATGTAAACTGTCTCTCTAAGTTAATCTACATAGATGGTAAGCAAAGTAAGTAAAGCTCCCTGCAACAGGCCGTGGAGGCCCATAGGGTTGTGTGATGTTGAGGTCCCACATTTTCTAGACAATCAGCCCACAGATGGCGGCAAGGTTGTCAGCCGTTTACCCCCAGGAATATTCCCCTGGGGTCGACTCAGCCTCTAACAGAAATGAGTACCAGGAATATTCTTGGGGGTAAAGGGTGGCCGGTGCGTAGGGCTGACAACCTTACTGCCATCTGTGAGCCGATTGTCTAGAAAATGTGGGACCCTCAACGTCTCACAACCCTGTGGGCCTCCACGGCCTGTTACAGGGATAGCTTTACTTTACTTTTATCTAGTTGTCTTTTTATGGGTTCACCACATGTCTTAACTGCCTTCTGAGAGATGTCATGTTTTAGTTCACTGTAAAATATCTCATTATTGTCTGAAGCTAATGAATCTCATTATAACAAGATTACAGCATACTTGTAGTCTGCCTCTAGCAGCTTCTCTTTCCGCTACATAAAGCATAAAATCTATATTTAACATTTACTATACAGTGTAGTCGCATTTTATGCAAGAGATGCGATCCTGAAGACCTCACATAACTCAAGACACCTGATTCTTAGTGAGTTCTTGGGGGGGGGGTTCACACGTTATTTCAAACTTAGCACATTAAGTGAGACTCTACTAATATTTTTTACATCGCACTATTTCAAATATGTGACTGCACTGTGTTTTTATGAGAGGAATTCATTTGGGGGAGGTATCCAATACCTAGACTATGTAGTGTCAGATGGAAGGAAGATTGATTAATGATAAATTGGAAAAGGAATTGGAAGGAAACAATCATGGCCTAATCGATATACTGGCCTGGAGTGACCAACAAAAGCTGCAGAAAACCTTAGGATAGCTGATACTGGGCAAGATTCAAACCAAGTACATCTTGAATACAAGGCCAACCTGTTTAGTGGAATACATCGTAGCTTTTACGATGTTTATATTGAATGTTTAGGGGAATTTTGGCCTGCATGGCATCAAAGAGTTTTTAAATTTTTATTTTCTGATGTTTGTATGTGTATGGTGCTTACAGATGGGTTTCCAACCAGGCAAAGGTCTGGGCAAGGATCTTCAAGGCATAGCAGCTCCAGTTGAGGCTCATCTCAGGAAAGGCAGAGGAGCAATAGGTACGAACATTTAGGTCTATGTGTACTGCATGTTACAGAATGAAGTGTACGTGGTAATCTGGAAGCTAGAAAACTGGTTTTGGATTCCACTGCAGCCTTAGCCATACCAACTGTAGATCCTCAGTGCTGATGGCACCATTGTTATTAAATACTATCGCTACACAAAACAAAATACAGTAACTGTCAAAACTGGATAAAGTAAAGTAAGTAAGTAAAGCTATCCCTGTAACAGGCCGTGGAGACCCATAGGGTTGTGAGACGTCGAGGCTCCCACATTTTCTAGACAGTTGGCTCATTGATGGCGGTGAGGTTGTCAGCCGTAAGCGCCAGGCGACATTTACGCCCAAGAATATTCCTGGTACTCATTTCTGCTAGAGGCTGAGTTGATCCCAGGGCCATAGTGCAGCTGGAAGGATTAGGTCAACTGAAAAATCCAGTGACCTTGTCGGGAATCGAATCCGCAACCTTCCAGCTTGTAGCATAGTGCCTCAACCAACTATGCTACTGCGTGCCCCTGTCAAAACTGGATAGAAATTTTAAATTGTGGATACCTAAAATCTGTGTTTGCCTAACCAGTATTAACACGGACATTGTGCAACAGGTGCGTACGGTCCGGAGAAAGTTCAGAAAGTGGCAGATGTTCAGCCAGATTCAGAGGAAGAAGAAGCAAAAGAATTTGTGGAAAAATTATCCCAGTGGAGGAAGGGTGATATGAGCAATAAGAAAAAGAAAGTGCGTTATACATACAAGAGCGTTGATGACGTGTTGGAGCAAGGCAAAACGACTAGCAGTGGCAGGAGAGAATACAGGTATGAGTGTGTTAAAATATGTCTCTGGTTCCTCAGATTCAAATTTCTTACTCCACGTCAGTCTGCCAGGCCCATGTTGTTTTTAAAGATCATGGAACCAACGTCCATCAGGACAAGTCCAGTGCAGGGCCACAGTGATTGAGAGCAAGAGGCCAGGCTGTAAGTGTGTATTAGGAACGCAGTGGGGAATTTGAAAAGATGGACTTAGTCCAGGTTAGGATGGCAGGAGGACCTTAAGCATTATGCAGTAAATTATGAAATTGCTAATGTGTCTTACACCATGAAAACTTATAGCAGATGTGGAGGTAAAACTCCATGCATTTCAAACTTCCACACCAGATAAAGATCAGAGGTGAGCCTCATCCTCAATGCCCGTTGTTTCCATACATATCACATCAGAGGCCCATCTGGTGCCAAACTTGTTTGGAACATGTTGGAAAGGCAAAACATTTGCTGTCTCCATTTTGAGCATGGAAGTTGAAACACCCCAATTTTGACTGAAATTTTGGGGGAACAGAAGTGAAAATACTGCATATAACATCCCAATTCAGGAAGCTTGCCACATAGAACCTGTCAGTGCTATGCAGTCTTAATACTGTCATTAAACAACAAACTTATATAAACAAAAAAGTGAAGAATTTACAAATTATTAACATTGATATAACAATCAGTTTTTTAAGTATATATATTTTCATTCTTGTCAGGGGAAAAGATTTTTCTTTGCCACTGCATAATATTTGACTGTGGGGCCCACATAACCTACTGTTGAATGTGAACTGAGGGCTTTTTCTCAAGAGATTAAAAACAACAGAATATGATTCTGACCATTTGGCTCTATTTAATGCCAAAGTTAAGAATGCATGGAGCTGTATCTCCATTCTTATTCAAGGTGTGGCACTTAACTGAGTAAACATGATTATGGCCTTCCAAGATGTGATGCTGTCTAATTAGTAGGTACCAGTGTTTCAGAGAGACCTGCTGTCTACCCAGGAGATGGGGGCACAGTTTCCTCTGAAACGTTGGTACCTATGTATAAACATACATAGTGTTACATTCCAAAAGGCAGTCACTCACATAAGGACCTCACCTCAGGCCTCAACTTTAACTCTTTTTGTCCTGATTGTACTGTGTGCTTGCATGCAGTCAGCTGAGTAAGGTGAAAGTGATCGACATGACCGGTCCGCAACAGAGGGTGCTGAGCGGTTATCATGCTATTGCTGGACAGCAGCGTCCTGCTGACGAGTGGGAACTCCGCAAAGACAAGAAGTTCGTAAACTTTGCGTTACCTGAGCTTCAACACAACCTGAATCTCCTGATGGACATGTGTGAGCAGGTACACACCGCATGACTGTAAACACTGTACAGCATAACTTCCATTTAAGATTTTCCATCGATTATTAGATTAGATTTTCATATCTCAGGGTTGGTGTAGTCGCTTGCTCTTATGAACACGGTAATGACCATCTGAGGCACACAAATTGCTTTACACATCTCGTATTTTGTATGATTATGAATGTTTCTGCAGGATATCATCCAGAATGATCGCAAGTTACGGTATACAAATGACCGCATTGTCATGCTCGAGCAGGAAGAGTTGTCTCTGAAGAAAGTGATCGAACAAGAGACTCGACATATAACAACACTGGAGTCTGTGCACAGTATGGTCCAGAAGTTGATAGACCAAACCAGTGACAAGTCTCATCCACTTACAATAGACAAAGCTATTGAAGCATTCAAAGAGCTGCAGGTAAGATTTCAGAAGTAATTCAAACCCCTGGTGATATTCAACAGTATTCATATCAGCACATTTTCCTTAAAACACAAAAATCATAAAAGGGAGGGAATAATTATGATTAAAATACACATAAATGTTCTATTTCTAGTGCACCAAAGGTCACGGTAATGTGCTTAGCTCTTCAGTTTCATATTTTGGAGGTCCCAGGTTCAAATCTCAGTCCAGAGACCACTATTGTGATAAAAATATTTAGTTGTTTTCCTCAGTCCCTCCATACAAATACTGTTTTTGTTTAATGCAGATTTCCTTCTTGCCTTCTTGAAATACATCCTAATGAATGTTTTGTCTGTCTGCAACAGGAAAAGTACTATGAGGAATATCGTCTGTATGAGTTGAGTGACTTAGCATCCAAACTTGTTGCACCACTTATAAAGGATCAACTTAACAGCTGGTCACCACTTGAAAATCCTCAGGAGCCAATGCCATTATTCAAACAGTGGAAGGACATCCTTGAAGTTGGACAAACCCAAACACTTACTAATATATCAACACAAGATCCATACCATTACTTGGTGTGGCAAGCCTGGATGCCCAGCGTCAGAACAGCTGTCAAGTAGGTTATAGAAGGTTTCATGTTTAAGTTAGCAACTGTCATAAAAATATGGTGGTATTTTTATCAAACTGTTCCTTAAAGGCAAGTAAAGTGAAGTAAAAGTAAAGCTATCCCTGTAACAGGCCGTGAAGACCCAGAGGGTTGTGAGACGTTGAGGGTGCCACATTGTCTAGACAATTGGCTCAAAGATGGCGGTAAGGTTGTCAGCCTTACACGCCAGCCGCGCTTTACTCCCCAGGAAAATTATTTATTAAGCCCTGGTACTCATTTCTGTTAGAGGCTGAGTGAGCCCCAGGGCCATAGTGTGGTCGGAAGGATTAGGTCAACTGAAAAAAATCCAATGAACTCATCGGCATTTGAACCCGTGACCTTCCGACTTAACAACAAAAACAAAACTCCGCGGTTTTAGTCTGCAAGAGAACTATACCGACCAAGCGACCACTGACTGTCAGCGAAGTTAGTGCCAACTTTAGCAGATACAGAGTGTCGCATGGGCAGCACAACGAATCCCCACTGGAGCCGCCATTTCCTTGAAATAGCTCCTCAGTTATCCTCACAAGGCTGAGTGGACCCCGTTCGAGACCCACTATTTCTCAGTAAATCTGGTAGCGCCGGGAATCGAACCCGGGACCTCTGGATCTGTATCCAGGAACTGACCACTAGGCCAGAGAGGCAGTCTTGTTCCTTAAAGACAGAAACAATAAAATATTACTAAAACCTTCTTAAGAAATTGTCACTCTGCCCAAGTGCCCATAAAAAGGTAAATGTATCCTTTTACCCCCAGGAAGATTCCGGGTACTCATTTCTGTTAGAGGATCAGTCGACCCCAGGTCCATAGTGCGGCTGGAAGGATTAGTTCAATTGAGAAATTCTATGACCTCAATCAGAATCGAACCCATGACCTTACGGCTTGTAGCATGGTGCCTGAAATGAATGGGGATAAAACTGTACACGGTCACGACCTTTACACTACGCTGGAGGTGAACAGTTGGTCATGCTGTACTTACTGGAAAGGGGACTGAATAAATTTCATAATATCTTTGCCTCTTCTCTGTTGGGCATGAGGCAGGAAAGAGATCAGTTAATAGTACTCATTTTAATGTTGACTGCTTGCCAGCCAATGAAGAGATGTGGGAGAAGTAGTTAGAGTATTGGGTGTGTGTGTGTGTGGAGGAGAAATGTGAGCGGAGAAGAGAAAATTTGGCATAGCCACGTTTGGTTTATGCATTTTCATCCTCTGTGATGATTTTTTTTTAAACACTGTCACATAAATCGTGAAGTATCTGTATTGGACAATACATTTATAATATGTAGTTTATAACCTCCACATAAAAACCTATGTCAAAACAGGAAAGAACTGTATACCATGAATTTTCTGTCTAAAAGTTTTCTGCATTTTGAAAGCTATAAGTCCAGTTTTGTTTTTCAGATCAGGTGATACACATTAACCAATAAGTAATGGCAGATGTGTTGTGATATAAGAAATTTTGCTGTAGCCATCCGTATGAAATCTCTCCTTTTTCTACAGCAATTGGAACTGTCGAACGTGTGAACCCCTTATTGAATTTTTGGAACATTGGCTTCCATTAGTTCCCCCATGGGTACTGGATAACATTCGGGACCAACTTGTTCTACCCAGAATACAGCATGAGGTTGAGGAGTGGAACCCAATGACAGATACTGTTCCAATCCACGCTTGGATACATCCCTGGTTACCTTTGCTTGGTATGTTACTATGCATAACAACTTATGTTTTATCCACCTGCTCAGCAGTCAAGTGTATGTAGAAATGAATTTCTTTTTTCTTTCTGTAGACTTAATAGGAGCTGGGATAAAAAAGACTCTGTGGCCTGTAATCTGCAAGCGAACTATACTGACCGAGAATCTGCCACATGTCGGCGAAGTTAGTGCCAACATTTGCGGATAGAGGGTGTTGCGTGGTTAGCGCAATGCATCCCCACGGCCATTAATTTCGGTTTTTTAGACCAAAGCCGCTATTTCCTTGAAATAGTTCCTCAATTATCCTCACGAGGCTGAGTGGACCCTGTTCCAGAGCCACTACTTCCTAGAAAATCTGGTAGCACTGGGAATCAAACCTGGGACCTCTGGATATGTAGCCAGGAAATCTGACCACAGAGGTGGTCATAGCTCAGTCAATATGATGACAGGCTGAATGGACAGGGTTTGATTCCCTGCAGAGGCAAGAGATTTTTTCTAATCCACAGCATCCAGATCAACTCTGGGGCCCACCCCAGCCTCCTATTCGGTGGGTATCTGAGGCTCTTTGCCTGGCAGTAAAGCCGCTCAGACACGAAGTTGACCACCTACTTCCATGTAATGCCGCAGTCAAAAATGGTGAACTACCTCCATTCCTCATATGTCTTCATGGCACAGTGCTTAATTAATTAAGCACAGGGACAACTCTGTCTTTATCTGTAAACCTAGTAGAGAGCTATGAAATTTACTCCATTCTCTGATTAATATGTACTTTTTTTTTTTTATTGCTAGTGGGGTGGGACTAAGTTCCTTGTATTGTGGCCACTTCTGTCCTATTATACGAGCTCCAGATGATAGGTGAGGGTGATTGTGGAGCAATTGGTGGAATGAAGATTGGCAGGGGAAATCGAAGTTCTCGGAAAAAACCTGCCCCAGCGCCACTTTGTCCACCACAAATCACACTTGTTGACCAGACCCAGGATCAAACCTGGGCCACCGCGGTGGGAAGCCAGCAACTAACTGCTTGAGCTATGGCGAGGCCAATATATACTGTAGCCACAACTATTAAAGGGGTGCACAAATATTGTAGTAAGAGTTACTGCATTGATTTACATCCTTAGTTGTGGTGTAAACTTTAATTTTATAATTTGAGTGTTATTCTGTCTTTAAAGTTTTGGCTACTGTATACTATGATACTGAGAGGGAAAGCAACCACATCCTTGGCAAGGAATGGTTACTTCTAGTAACTGATAAACATATTTAGAAATCTTCTCGTCTGATGCCATGTGGTCAGAAGCTACTGATATTGTCATCAAATTAAGAATATGTAAATAAGTAATATAACAGTCCCATTGTCATTACAACCTGTATTCCATGTGATCCCATAGATCATCATTTTGTCTGCTGAACCCAGCCTGGCCCATTGTAACAAACATAGGCATCATTGATAAGATTTAAAAGTTTCTGACGATGGTACATTAGTACAAATATTGTGCTTTTGAACATTCTCCGTTGTCATATCTTTATCTATAAACCATCATGTTTATTTTTCAAAACACAACATTTAGAAGACTGGATTCTGTCTCTGTCTTCAGGTAAAAACTACTCAATCAATAATCAGGACGGTTTTTAGATAAAGACAAAACAATGGATAATGTCCAAAAACATAATATTTGTGCTATAGATATTACTGATTGGGCATGCCTTTCGTATCCTCATTGCCTTCGGTGTTAATTACAGTATCCAATTCCTTTATATTAATTCCTGCGAGCTATATATTCTGTATGCAGAAGCAGTTCTGATGATGAGTGTATTTTACTTTAGGAAATCGTCTGGTTGTGACTGTCTACCCAGTCATTCGCCACAAGCTGAGCAAAGCGCTTGTCAGTTGGCATCCATCAGACAGATCTGCCAAACTGATGCTGCTGCCCTGGCATGGAGTGTTCTCACGGGGTGACATGGATGCATTTCTCGTCAAGAATATTGTACCAAAACTGCAGCTCGCTCTGCAGGAGCTTGTCATAAATCCACATCAACAGCATCTAGGTGAGAATGGAGCCAAGTTAATTGTTGCTCAGCTACTGAATATATTCCCAGCATTCCATTGTTCCCTCTCCTAAGCCTGATATATCCAATCCACATCCTCCTATCCTATCTATTGAAGGTTCATTTTAATGTCATCTCATCTATGCCTAGATCATCATAGTGGTCTCTCTCCTTCAGGTTTGCCTACCAAATCTTTACGCGCACTTCTTTCTTCTCACATGCATATGTGTCCTTCCTGTCTCACCCTTATTCACATGATCATTCTAATAATATTTGCTGTAGAATACAAATTATAAAGCTCTTTATCATGCAGTTACTTGTCCCTGAATAATGAACCTAATGGCCAGTGATAATAGTCGCATGGTCTTTGTCCGCTCGAACACTGGGGTTGTGGATGCCTGTGTGCATTTATTCTGCATTTGTGCTGTCCTCTACATAGGTAGCAGCCTTCTGACGGGCTGATCCCCAATTCAAGGAGTCCTACTGACTATATAGGATTACAAAACCAAAAAAGTGGCCAGCGCCCAATGAAGGAATGTAGAGCCATTGATGTATGGACAGGATGGGACGGGGCTATACCTCATTATGAACCACAAAATAGAATTTTGAAGTTCATCCACAGGGAGATTCATTTTTATGTAGGCTGTATTTTTCTGTTCACATACAGATCAATGGCACTGGGTGATGGATTGGCAGGAATTGTTACCAGTACACAATTTGGCATCACTGCTCGAGAGATACTTTTTCCCCAAATGGCTTCAAATACTTACCATGTGGCTGAAACATGCACCAAACTACGATGAAATCACAGAGTGGTACATGGGCTGGAAACGGATGGTGTCCGAGTCGTTGCTGGCCCAACCTGCAGTGAAAGGTTCGTTCAGATACAATTTGTTCTCACATTAATGACTGCAGTCTTTGTAATGCATGTTCTGTTGGGTACTGTAAGGACATAAAACTTAAAATCTTAAATGGGGAAATTTAATGCTGAGATTATTGGCTTGGGATCATTGAAATCAAATGTTAAATGAGTTACAATCTTAAATTGAGGAACATTTATTAGGGCATTCCACTGTTTATGATATATAATTGAAGATATATGTCATGAAAAGTCTAAGATAAGATGGAGTTGGGATGGCTTTTATGTGCAGAGCAATTTCGCAAAGCTTTGGAGCTGATGAACCGTGCTGTGACAGCACCTGGCCAGTCAATGGCTCACCAGCCAGGGGCAGTTGAATCAGTGTCTTATCTCACCAATCTAGAACAGTCATCCTCTGTGACACCTCCTCCAGCTCAGAGGGCAAAAGAAACAAGATACGAGGTAAGCAAGCACCTAAAAGTACATTAGATTGAAACCTGTATATGGCTGCATTGCCCCAGACAAGTTATACATGTGAGATTTGACGTTCTTGCAGTGGTGAGTCTTGTTGTATGTGATGTCATGGAGAGAGAGGTAAAAGGTAACATGTAGGGAAGGTGAAGAAAGTAAAGAGATATTCAGTTCACCCCACTTTCATTGGTTCTGTCTTACTGTCTTCCTGACCGGAACTTCAGCACAACCACAACCGGCTCCTTCATCATGACAACGCACTTACCCACACATCCCTGAAAACCACAGAGTCTGTGACTAACAACATGGTTACTGTTCCCCATCCCCCCTACTCGCAGGACTTAGCCCACTGTGATTTCACTTCTTTTTCCCAAATTCAAAATGAAACTGAAGGGACGACTTTTTGAAACATCCTAAGGGAATCGCAAGTGGTACTCAGTAGCGTTAAGGAAATTGACCTCCATGTTGTTTTGAAGTGTGGAAAAAACGATGGGATTGCTGTATACGTTCCCAAGGAGACTATTTTGAGGGAGATGGCAGCCAAAGTTGAGTAAGTTAAGCCTGCATTTCTATTTTGACCCAGTCTGGGAACTTTCCTATACACCTCATATGTACATAAAAGACACAGGTATAATTCCAGTGTTCAAGCAGGAGAACACATATCATAGCTCAGGCTGCACAGACACCGAGATCAGCTTCCTCTGTCTCTGTTATTAAAAAATCCTGAATTTTGGCTTCCTTAATTAATCTGAGCATTGTTGCTATCTGCAGGGGTTCACCTTGTTAGCCTATTTCTTCCTCAAACATCAGGCCACCTCTTTGGCCTTTCTAATCAACAAAAATGAAATTCCACAAGACCACGTTCAGTTTAGATCTCCTGCACTGAATTATCAGGTACCGTGGAGGACTGGCAGGTGGATATGTTCAATGTTTTTCTTTAATGAACGCAAAGAGATACCTAACCAGGTGATGTAGTTGTATTATATGAATGTGCACTTCCCATTGTTACACTGTAACTTAAAATCCAGTTTAAAACATACATTTCATTCGGTGTTACAGATGCTTGCTGAAGCCGTTCGCACTGCAAGTCAGATCCCACAAGGTTTCAAGGAGTTAATACAGAAGCGTTGTGAAGAGAGAGGAATCGTGTTCATGCCCTTACCTAACCGATACCGCGAAGCTAAGCAAGTGTATCGCTGTGGGAAGATCCAGATATATATTGACAGGAGTGTTGTGTTTGTCAGTGAAAATGGTAGTGTGTGGATTCCAACCGCGCTGAATAATATGCTGGATATGGCTGCCTGATAGCAGTAGATCAGTCTGTTCCAACCCAACCTCCTTCAGCCTACTGTCCTTTCTTATTGTTTACAGTTTCAAACATGTCCCCTGATTCTGCTTTATGACTTTCTCTTTAGATGTTCATTTCATTTTCTTTCTCTTACAGTACACTGCCAATTTTCTACATGCAGATCATCTGCTTTGCAGATAAGCATGAGACTTTAATTGATTATACAGCTTTTCTATAATGATTTTAGCATTGCCCATTACACCTTTTCAGTAATATGTATCGTGATATGCAATAAAATGTAAATTTTCTCACCCTGTTGCAAATTTCTGTTATATAATTTTATTTTTTTGCACACCAGTCCTGTGGCCACTGAACATGGATTGCTTTTGTCTATTAAAAAGATGCTTCTATTTGTATTACTGTTTAGTGACCAATAGGAGGGTCAGTAATTAATAATTGCTTGATATTCATGGGAATTCAGTGTAATGGGTATTTCCAAATTATCCATTGTTTAAATATCCATGCTATTTGTCTCCTCCATTCCTGTGTATAATTAAGAGTTCGCCATATTTTGTAATTTAATTTAAATATTTGTAGATCTGTATAGCAACATAGTTTGTATAATACTTAAGTAGGAATGGTAATAAACTACAGTGTCATAAACCTCCATAAATTGTAGTTCCATTTGAGATGATTCATGTACAGATCTCACCATACACAGTAAATCAAGTATGGGGCCATATATTTTTACTCTCAATGTGAGATTTATTACCCTGAAAATCGAGGCAGCATGTTCCTCCAGCCAGCCTACAGGGTGTCACCAAGGTGGCTGACTATGAATGAATGAATGAATGTATAAGGAAGTGGTGGGCCTTCTTGGCCCTTGCACCGCGACCTACAGTGGTCTATTGTGCTTGAGGTGGCTGGCTAAGTGCTAACACTTGGGATTTGTATAGGGAAGTGCTCAGTTCAAATCTCAGCTAGGACACCGATTGCCCTGACTGAGATCTGCCATGGTCTTGTTCAGTCCCCCAGGCAAGGCTGCACCATAGCTCAAGCAGTTAGTCACTGGCTTCCCACTGCGGCAGCCCGGGTTCGATCCCGGGATCTGGTCAAGTGGGATTTGTGGTGGACAAAGCGGTGCTGGGGCAGGTTTTCTCTGAGTACTTCGGTTTCCCCTGCAAATCTTCATTCCACAAATTGATCCACAATCACCATCAGCTATCATCTGGGACTGGTAGAATAGACCAGAAGTGGCCGCAGTACAAGGGACTTAGTCCCACCACACCAGCAATAATAATAAAAATAATCCCCCAGGGAAATACCAGGACAGTATCTTGAAATAGGCCTCAACCACTTCCTTCACATCCTTTCCAATTCAGTACTCACTACTGTCTTATAATTTGACGCTGTACTGACTGAGCTACTGACATCATCATTAAATAAATTGTAAATAAATAAATAAAAAGTATGATTTCAGACTTTTCCTATTCTTCCCCTCACTCGTGGAGCTGAGCCCTTCTTGAGGAACCACCAATTCTGCAGCTACTCAAGAACTTCCCAGCATTTTATGGAACCTGAAGGTTCATTACCGTGTTCACAAGAGCTCTCCAATGGTCCCTATCCTGAGCCAGATCAATCCCATTCATACCATCCCATCCTATCTCTCTACAATATATTTTAATATTGTCCACCCACCTACATCTTGGTCTTCCCAGTGGTCTCTTTCCTTCTGGCTTTCCCACCAATATCCTATATGCATTCCTCTTCTCCCCCATTTGTGCTACATGCCCTGCCAATATCATCCTTGACTTGATCATTCTAATTATACTTGGCAAAGAGTACATTTTTAATTTTATTTGTTATTTGAACTAAGGTGTACAATATCTTGAATGAAGACATTCTCAGAGCACAGCTTCTGCGCTCCTTTTGCCTTCTTTCTCCTGTTCTTATTTAATATTGCATGCCACAGTGAAAGGGTAAGTTGGTTAATCTGTCACAGTTATGAAGATAATTGTAGGTATTAGAAAATGTAAAGATATACATGCAGATAATGGGCAGGTACACTTGATGCCTTGAGGCATGTTATTCTCAAGGTCTGAAACCCACAGCACTTCTTAGCTTCACAGGAAATGTTCTTTCACTAAGCGATAAAAAGATACATGCAGTGCCGTAGGCCATACTCCAGCCCACTTGCAAGGTGAGGGACAATGGGACCCCAGCTTAAGTGTGAAAAAGTCACTTTTTTTTATTCAAAGCCAGAAACATAGATCCATAAGTGTAAGTTTCTATATTGTAAACTTCCATATATTATTTTTTTTATTGCTAGTGGGGTGGGACTAAGTCCCTTGTACTGCGGTCACTTGTGGCCTATTGTACCAGCCCCAGATGATAGGTGAGGGTGATTGTGGAGCAATTGGAATGAAGATTGGCAGGGGAAACCGAAGTATTTGGAGAAAACCTGCCCCAGCGCCACTTTGTCCACCACAAATCCCACTTGACCAGACCTGGGATCGAACCTGGGCCGCCGTGATGGAAAGTAAACTTCCATAGAACTCCTGATCAGATATTTGAAAATAAAATCCTCCCTTCAATAGATGTCTCTCTTCTGGAAAGTAACACTCTATGGTTCAGTACATTTTTCCCAACATGTTACAGGAATTTATTACCTCTCACCCTGAAGATGGAGACAGTAGGTTCCTCCAAAATATTGGTGATGATTTACCAGGCAACTTGGTGTCATGTGCAGGAAGACAGAAACTTTAGTTCACAGGGACTGGAATCAGGGGAAAATGTGTGCATATGTACCAGCAGGGAACAAGAAGCTTGTCCCATAATGCATCAGACATTGCACAAACTGTATGTCAGAATGCAGTGCTGCATTTTTAGTATTAGGGATTTCAATAAAATAACCTATAATTATATTCCTTATAAACTTACATTTTGAGTGACCCCTCACAAATGTGGACTTGTACACGTGAGATCTGAACTATTTATCCAACATGTGAGCATCCATTTCATCAATTTTTAACATATTGTACAAGTGTCCCTCACCTGACATGATTGTTTCTATGAAGAGTGGTGGCATAACTCAAAATTTCTGCTCACTTCTTTCATTTAACTGCCTTTAATTCTCAGTAAACAAATATATATTTCATGTATCTTTAGTATTCAGTTTAGTCTTCCTTACCTACAAGAGGAATGCATGTAAGATTTTAGTAGGAAAGCCAGAGGGAAAGGTGCCACTAGGGAGACATGGACACAGCTTGATGCATGCTACAAAAAGGGTTTTAGATAAATATGATGGGATGGTGTGCGGACTGGATTAATCTACCTCAGGATAGGGACCAGTGGAGAGCTCTTGTGAACCTCAAAGCTCCATAAAAATTTGGAAAATTCTTCAGCAGCTGAGTCACTGGCAGCTTCTTAGAAAGGGCTCAGCTCGATGGAGTTATTTAAGAGTTATACTTTCTTAGGTTTCTTTCTTTCATTTGTTTCTCTTTTGTATTGTCTTCTTTCCCAATTTCTATACTTCCCTTATTCTTCAAGAACAGCAATGTAAAGGTAAGGTAAAAAAGGTAAAGGGATACCTGTAACAGGCCCTTACTTAGTGTCTCCTTCCCCATGTGTTTATAGTTCAGAGCGTCCTTACCTGACGTGTTGCTTTCAAATGAGAAAATAGCAGTTGCACTGGAGGAGGCAGAAAGATGTTGAATGCATGGGCACTGCACCCCATGCTGACCTCAAGGACACGACCAGCTGAATCGGCTTCCCAAGGGATGACAGGTTGTTAGATGGTGTTGCACAACCTTCCATCTATCAACAACCAGAATGTGATACCAAATGATGCAGATATTTGGGATGGACACTAACAAATCAGAATTGTATTCAAGAGCAAGATAAGAGCAAATTAGATTCTGGTAATGCTTACTACCATTTTGTTCAGAACCACGATTAAAACACTATAATTTTATCTGCTGTTCTGTATGGTGTAGGGATGATGTTTCATAACGGGATGCTAAGGAGAATATTTAGACCTAACAGAGTGTTAGAAGCTGGAGAAAATTACGCAGTGAGGAGCTTTACATTATTTCTTCGCCATATATTCCGAGTGATCAGTTGGAGGATGAGCTGAACTGGACATGTAGCACAAATGACAATGAACAGAAATGTGTAAAAAATTCTAGCTGGACACCCCAAATGGAAAATGACTACTTGGACAACCTAGACATAGATGGAATGACAATATAATTAATTTTACAGAAATAGGATGGTGTGAAATGGATTAATCTGGCTATGCTCATTTAATTAAGCGCGTGAAAAGAGACTATATTTAAAATTTTTAAAATATATTTAAAATTTTATCTTTATTGTTAGCAGTATTCGCTTCCTTTTATTCATTTATGGTTTATTTGACGGCGCTGTCGGTAGCTCTGGTTCTACAGGGTCGCGTGTTAGGATTATTAGTGAAATTAATTAGAAAGGACTTGGAAGGAAACGGTAAAAAGATAAAACTATCCCTGCAACAGGCCGTGGAGGCCCATAGGGTTCTAAGACGTCGAGGCTCCCACGTTTTCTAGACAATCGGCTCACAGATGGCGCTGAGGTTGTCAGTGTCACAGTGTCACATCCTCGACGGTAATACACTTCATAGTCACCGGCGTGACAGACTCGAAGGCAGTAGTCATTGTGCACAAGGTACTTTATGCGGACCATATATGTACTGTGGCCCACATGCTTACGAACTCTGTTCTGCAAGATGTAGCTATTCCAGACTGTCTGATATCCCAGCGAGAGTATGAAGATGCTGGACATTCACATGAGATATCTACGGATATTTGGAGAATCTGCAGATGAGTGGAGACACGTGGGCAGACGTGGAGGGTGACGTTGGGCGTGTTGTCAGAGTGAAAATGAGATCAGTACAGCATCCTGCTCTGTGGATATGGGATTAAGGTGGAGTCGCTTTTAACATCTCCATAAGGAAAGTTGTTTTCAAGTTTCAACTTCACCAGCCAAACAGTTCAATATTACGGCAGCCAAAATCATGCAAGAGTGGCACAAGCATTGTTCTCGTCAACGTTTATAAACCAAAAAACTCTTCTAAGCCTAAAATCTATATATACAGTTAGTCTAATAAGGCAGTGTTTGTTGGTTTGTCCTTCCTACATTTCCGCGGAAACCAATTAAAAATGTTAGTTACGATAGGAGCAGAAGTTGACAGCACTAAAGAGTAGGTTTTAGTAGGCAATACGATGTTGATATTTGCCGGAAAAGAAAAATGTACCTCTATACTGTCAGTATTGTGCTTATTCTATCAAACTGGCTTTCCAGAAATGTTCTATTTCATAGCTCGCTTATTCAGTGAAATCGTGAAAATCAAACTGACCCTTAAGGGTTTATGTGTGTTATTTGTCTGTTGTCTTATTGTAGTACCACTGCCACCGGGTGAAAACCCATTGGCAGGTAAATAATAATAATAATAATAATAATAATAATTTGTAAGGGTGGCTGAATGGAAGGGTTACATGTGGAAGTGACAGCTGGAGATGGGGAATTATCAAAATTTCCCGTTAAATTTTTAACAAGATATCATGATAATAATATTTAAAAATTAAATTCTTACCTCACAGAAGACATAATGCGTCTCCATTACAAAGAAAAACTAGGTAATGCTGTTTAGGGAAACAATCCCTGTTGATTCTGAGAGTCATATGAAACGCTTCACTATACTGTTCTGCAAAGATGAAGAGCTTTTTAATGTTAAAGCAGGTGGTACACGTAGTAACTGTCACTGACACGGGAAGGTAGATTACATGTAAATTTTTTGTATCCCGGGGTCGACTTAGCCTCCAACAGAAATTAGTACCATGAATCTGACAATCTTAACGCCATCTGTGAGCCGATTGTCTAGAAAATGTGGGAGCCTCGACATCCCACAACCCAATAGGCCTCTACGGCCTGTGACAGGGATAGCTTTACTTTCTATTATTTTACCTTAATTGCATTCCCATAGATTAAAGTCTATTCTAGGGTATGACGCCCTGTAGTCTGGTAGATAACTACCGCCATTTCGGAGGAACCTTCTGCCTCCATCTTCACAGTCAAATCTCACACATTCATACAGGTTATGCATCCACTCCCCTTCCTATACCTTCTGAATACATAAATTTGATGTGAGTTTTTTTTTATTCGAGCTTGCCACACAAACAGGAAACGAGACAGGAGAAATATTATAGCCCTGTGCCACAGGTTTGGCATCTCACACCATAAAACCGAACAACTATTACGTTAGTTGTGTTATCAGAAATAGTTACAGGCTTGGTCCAAACAAACCAAACCTGTCAGCACTCTGCCTACATAATGAGCTACTCACACCTGAAGTTCTTCTCTTGCACATCCGTAAACCAGATTCTGAACCTTAACCCCAGAACTTCGAAGAAAACCCTTATGTCGAGATAGCGCAGTCATTTCAGTGACCAAGGCCGTGGGCTGGGTGACTAGAGCTCGATTCTCGATGGAGACGACGTCCAGGCTGGTTTCGAGCCCATAGCAGAAACCCTTTCACATGGGGTAAAGCGGGCGGGGCGTGAAGCTGACCACTCACATCCATCTAGAGGAGAGCATAAGAATGTTTTGAGATATACCGCCACTCCCCTACAAGTCTTCATGGCGTAGTGCTTAACCTTGTAAAGAGCAGTGGTAAATATATATACCGCCTGATTTAACATTAAGCACTCACAATAAACAGCGACTGTTTAGCTGAACAGCATTAACCGGTTGGGCTCTGTAGCGGAGACGTAATGTTTCCTGTGAGGTAAGGACTAAACATTTAAATATTATTTATACAAATTTCAGACTTAAATGGATCAGATAAGCACACGAAGAACTTTCAGTTGGTCATAATAATCGTACCTGTGTTTAATTAAGCACCATACCATGAAGGGGCATGATGTGGTGGACGTAAAGCTCCATAGATTCCTGACTTCTGCACTAGGCAAAGGTGAGTGGTTAGCTTCACGTCCCGGTCGCTTAACCCCAGGGAGAACACCCTGGGTGGAACCCAGAAAGGTTTGGATACTGTGGAGGAAAGAGAAATCTGTCATCCCTGCTGGGAATCGAACCCCGATTCCTCGGAAATTTGTCTTGTAGCAAGATATTATACTATTACATGGGCCTGACTACTGGCCCCATCCTAGACCAGATGAATCCGTCCCCCACCCCCAGTCTATTTCTTTCAGATCACTTTTAATATTTAGGATCTGAGGTCCTCACGGCAGTGACTATGAAGAGTTTCTTTTTAATATTATTCCCCGGATCTACACCTAGGTCTTCAAAGTGATCTCTTTCCTACAGGTTTTCCTACCTATAACTTTGTAGGCACTCCTCTCCCATACATGCTGCATGCCCTGCCCATCTCATCCATGATTTGATCGTCGTAATAGCATCTGGTGAAGGGCACAATTTATGAAGTTCCGCATTATGTAATTTTCTCCATCCTCTTAGGTCCAAATATTGCCGTGTGTACCCTACTCTCAGACACCCTTAGTTCATGTTCTTCCCTTAAGTTTCACAGCCACACAAAACAGGAGAAGGCATACTAATCAATATATTTCAATTTTAAAATATACTGATGGACGTTTCCAACACAGAGAACACGTTTAATGTATCTGTGGGCTGTTGGCAAGGTTTCTCCACCCTGACCTCTCTGGTGCACAATTGCAGCTGCAGTGACCAAGGATAATCACTCATCTCCTAACATATGGTTCGGGAGAAACCATGGCTGGCATCATCAATAAAGTAAATAAAGTAAAGCTATCCTTGTACGAGGCCGTAAAGGCCCATAGGATTGTGAGACGTCGAGGCTCCCACATTTTCTAGACAATCGGCTCACAGATGGCGGTAAGGTTGTCAACCTTACGCACCGGCCGCGCTTTACTCCCAGGAAAATTATTTAACTAATTCCTAGTACTCATTTCTGTTAGAGACTGGGTGAACCCCAGGGTCATAGTGCGGCTGGAAGGATTAGGTCAATTGGAAAAAAATCCAATTACCTCATCGGGACTTGAACCCGCGACCTTCCGGCTTGTAGCATAGTGCCTCAACCAACTACGCTACTCATCAATACTAACAATTGTGTTACACTGCATCCCTCACGTTCCCTTCCAGAAAGAGGCGTCCTTAGTTCTGAGTCTGTTGATGGCACAAAGTCCATTATTCAAGCATACATAATTATGCCAGGTTCTTAGTTTTCTGCCTAATGCTCCAAAGCTCAGTATTCAAGCACACATGCACGTAACTATGCTAGGTTCCCAATTCTCTACTGATACTCCACAGTTTACGATTCAAGCACTGATACGTAGCATTTCCGGAAACTGCCACAACTAACCCAAACCCAAATATTACTGGCTTCTTGGATGTGGCGCCTTGTAGTCTGTTAGACTGTTATCAACGTTTCGGAAGAGACTGCTGCTTCCATCTTGAAGGCAGAAAAGTGGAGCATGCAAAAGAAGTTATAAGGTTATAGGACAGGAAGTGCTGGGGCCATGCAGACGTGTGGGGGGAGTGGAGTTATGACTCCAGCATTCTTAAACTCCAAATTAGATGGAGTTGAGTCGCCAGTTTTAAGCATATACCCCTTTACGCTCAGAGAAATAGTCCCCGGTACCCATTGTATAGGAGGCTGGGTGGGCCCCAGGGTCTGTCTGGACGCTATGGAGAGGAGAAAAATCCCTTGTCCCTGCCGGGAACCGAACCCTGTCTCTTGGGTTGGACAACCCATGGCTCGGTCGCTAAGCCGACTACGGTATCCCGAC